ACTCGGTTCTCCCGAGTCGTCTTCGTCGTTCTTATCATCGATGATATATTATCTTCGAAACGCATGAACGACGCGTAAAACCGTTTTCGTTTGTTCATCCGATCGACAATTAAAATATGTACATCGGTCGATTCGACAAAGTAGAGTATTAGTCGTTACCTTAGAATTTTACTCTTTTTTACTCTTTTACTCTTACGTCACTTCATCTACTATCGTAATCTCCAATTGTTCGTTTCAAGAGTATAAACAATATGATGCAGCTTATATAGAAAAAGGGGATGCATCTAACGATAAGTACGTTGCTGAAGCTCGATAGCATGGTGACTCATAGTCACCCCTTGTCACATTGCGTACAAAATATCGCGACTGTCATTATCAGCAAAGGACATCATTTGTGATTTACTTGCACGATACCGCTGTTTCCTTAATAAAAAAAATTTACTATTTCGCTGAATGTCTATTTGCATTATATCCTGTATAGTATACTATGTTTTGTATTTGAAGCATCTGTCAACAGCGACTGTCCACGACAACGAAATTCGATTAGGATAATTGTGACTCACCCTTATCATATACAAAATAGAGTATTTCGATAAGCGATATCTAAATGAGACGAATCGATTACGAGCAAGTATATCTATTCGAACAAACGCATCAGGCTAAAAGGAATAAAGTGGAATAAGTAAGAAGCGGAAAGAATGTTGAAATTTCTTTTTCATCGACATAGGAAAGTACACGTGGACTACTCGTTTTTGTTTCGTCTAAATTAGATGTGATGTCAGCGAGCGTTCCTGCTCGCGGATTCGTTTAATCGTACGACTAACGAAGGACAATCAGATTGGAGTACCGCTGTATCGCATCGGCCTTATTCTCTCGAATCGACCTCGTGACACATAATCGGCTTTTATTCATGCATAGTATCGTACTTACATACTTGCACGACCCTTCTTTGCTAGCGAAAGTTTTTCGTTGACGAGATAGGCCAAGTCTGACCGATGACCGGTGTATTCTACTACATTTTCGTTCCTCGCGGTATGTAGTAGCGCACATCCAAAAACAACGACGAAAGACGATCGACTCCCGATAGAGAGAATACGTTTTCCGATTAACGAGAGAGTAGAAACGAGAAACTCGTTGGACGAAAAGTTACTACGTTAGAGCGTATACGAACAACCAGAGCATTCTTCGATCCTGTCGGTTTGAATTTACCTTGATAATAAATATGATCCCCCGTTATTGGCAGGTCCGTTATGTTCGCGTACTGTGACGCGCGTCTATCAATGCGAGACAGTGTTTGCGCGTACTCTCAAGCAAGTACGTGCGAGCGAATACACGATACACATACACCGAGATGCGCGGGCGTGTACACTATCATGGTTGAATTTTTTCCTTCGAAACGAAGAGCGAGTGATCCATACATGGTAACGGTGAGAAGACTGGCTTACGCGTTGCAACGCGTAACCCACCCTACCTGCTCTCCTGTCGCCACTCGTTCGCCTTCCGTTCTTCTCTCCTGCTTGTAAAGTTACATACTTCCATAACATTCTATATGCACGTATACACACATTTACTTTCGTCTACTTTTTATGCGTAACTCTACTTATATATCGAGCATATAGTTGATTAATAAACTTTCGCATGTACGATACAACTGACTAACACTCAGAAGCGACCATGGATATCTATTATATCAAGTAATTGACGATAAGTGTCATTCGAGGAAAGATTGACGAAAACGATTACCGTCTAGTGCGAATACTTTTCGGGAAAGCCTTTCGCCAACCAGAACTAAAGCTACTTTATCGTAGCAGTAGCCTAAAGGGCGTACATACATTTTTTAAACATCTTTTTAGTAGGTCCGCAATACATACATATGTATTTGGGTGGGTGTGTACTACGCCGGTGAGTCACGTATCGACTTTTCTCCCAGCCAACTTCAGGTAATCAGGGTGGGTTTAGGACATACCCATCATTTAGCTAAGGGTGGAGGAAATACGTGTACGTTCATCGATGAGATCATCGAATA